ACACCGTGACATATAATTTTGAATGGCTATTTTTTTTTAATAAATCGTGATATTGAGATTTATAGTAAATATAAGTGTTATTATAAATAGTGTTATTTCTTCGGCAGGTACCGAGTTATACATGGATAATTGCGGGTCAAAAATATTATATTATTATTTATAACAGAACTTTAAAAAAAACTTCTTTCCTATTTATTGATTTTATTTTAGGTACATAAGTAGTTATTACAAAACTTCAATAATTTGTTATGCTTATAGATTATTGTGGAGGATAATAGTTATTTTTCTATACATACTGTATACAGTTCAAATGTATAATATAATTTATTATACATAGTTTATTCAGAGTTTTGCGATACATTTTTTTATTCTTAAAGCCTTTTTCCAAAAACGACTGGTACCTACATAGTATATACTGTATATTACATTATACTCTTCAAATTTTCTAACTACGCGTCCCGCATGTACGCAATTTAATGGCATTAAAATCTTATTCACACATGGACATGATAGGTACCTACACATATTATACGAAATTGTCGTTCAATTAATATTTTTACAATATCATTTGAGTCTACTTCGGTAGACTACGACTACTAGGTATTATACATGGTATTTAACTCTTATTTTATTTTTTTAATAATTGAGGAGGGACGACTGTAAACTCCGTCACATGTATCTATTTAACAAAAATATCCTTTTTTGTATTTGAAATAAAATTAAGGGTAAAAATCTGAAATACGTACGAGTATACAAATACCGTGCTTTAACAAAAAGTATTTAAACCAAATCAACAATACAGAATGATTATAAAAATAAAAATAAAACATTATTTATATAATATTATAATCATCTATAAATTAAACATTAAATACGCTTAATAAATATTATGTATGGTAGGTATGCCTACAAATATAATAAAAATAAAAATTAAAAATCTGGTAGTAATAATAAAATTTATAGGGGTTGTAATTTACAATATTACAATAGACAGAGTGTCCATATTATGGAGATTACAGATAAGAAAATAAAACTGGTGGACTTGACATTAGACATTTTCATTACCATTTTATGTAACCGGTATTTTGGTGAAATTTAAAATCGCTCCAGATAAAGGTGGCCGTATGTTATTAGTTGTTACTTATGTATATTATAGGTATAATAGGTACAACTATAACATAGTATAATGTATTATCAATGGCTACTTTTTTATTAGGTCAACAGTGCAGGGAATTCCGGATGTACATGCTCATCGGTTTAGTCATTTTAGGTTTTGACACATTTCATATTATTTCAATTATTAGATATCAAATTATTGATATGTAACATACTAATACGTCATGTTGAAAAAAGATTGAATTAGGTATATAATATATTATTGTATAGACGATTATATCCGATATCAGAGAGAGTAAGCAGCGAACGCAGAGAGACAACTTATGAGTGTTCATGAGGGAGAGAGCAGCAATTGGTAACCTTATAATTAACACGACCGCAATCGTAAAAATTAGTAATAAAACTTCATCACGTCCAATAAAAAAATTTTTTTAAATCAAAAGCAAAAGACACGATCGTAAAATTGCACCCAGTCTATTATAATAAAAATAAAAATTCTTAATTATTATTTGCAGAACGGAAAATAGCAACTTGCATAACCTTTAATTTCCTATACTGCAGTAGTAGTTATAAACAAATACTCGTCCTCTCTCCTTTCCATGAATAATCTTAACGTTTGCTTTCCACCACTAGTTAAATAAAATGTCCGAAGAGTGGGTGATGTATTTTAACGTAACACGCATTCACATAACATACCCAGAAATAAATAATTCTTGTAAAAATACAGTATTTTTATCATGATACACAGGTAACTGCGTACTTGAGATTTTTTACTTTTTTACCCTCAATTTTAATTTAATAGCCCTGTTAAAAACTTACCGATGTGACGATATGTGTAATTATTTACTATAATAGTATGTAATAAAAACAAACAAAATAGTTTGTTTAAAATAATATGGTCAATAGAAAATGCATCATGGCTGCGTACAAACCGGATGAGAACGTCTGATAGCTGACTATAATATTTGCAGAAAATTCGTCAGAACGGAATTAAAAAATTACGGTAACGATAAGCGATACTATTTAACGCGTTTCTGACGATGTCATAGTATTACTTAGTATTATTATGTCGTGGTGGAAAAAATTGTTTTTGTTTTGAGCGATAAGGTTTTAAATTCATACACAATATTCTGATATTGTCTGCTGCATAGCATTCAAGCATTCAACACATAACCATATAAATTATTATAAAAAAAAACCTTTGTGCATGAAACGGGGCATTATACTACGAGAAAATGCTATTGCCACACCATTATTTACATAATAAATAATAGTAGGTACTGTCTACATTAGTGCACATAGGTTTTATTACCGCCTTGTGACACGCAGATTATTGGCTTCTCTGTCCGTGCACAAATCCTTTTATTATTTTTTCTCGTCGGGGATAGAGACTTTAGTGATATAGTGTATAGTAACGTTTTAACACTATAAACGTTCACACAAACTGTACACGTACTTCGCCTCGTACATGATATTTCGATTTATAAAGTTTAAAGTGATCACAGAGTTCAAAGCGGCAGTTTTTAATGCGTTCTCGACCGGTGGCGCGGTCTGTGCATTATTATACGATCATGACAACGCGCCCCCGTGATCCTTACGTACGCGTCAGCCGGTGCATTAGGTAAACAATATATCTAGCTTATATGAATAGTACACTCATGATAATGAATAGGTGATTATAATTGTAATTGCATATTGTTGCAAAAATATAGTTGGTAAGGATATATGTTGCACATAGTGGGTGGATGTATCACAACTATAGCAGGATAGAATAATTTGGGTAGTATATGGGTAGTCAGATAGGTTTCCGTTTTTCGGGACATCATTGTCAAGGGCTCTCCTCATTAGGAGATCTTCTAGGAAAATATGTACAAATTCGAAGTTGGTTTTTTAAATTCATTTCAAATGTTATAACTTGTTTTTTTTATTGGTAGGTGTAATTTACGGTCTTCATAAAAAAATATTGTGTACAACCATATAATAAAATATGTTATGTTTAAAATCATTTACTCAAATATATATTTCAAAAATCATTTGTAACTAAGAAATATAAGACCAATAACGAAAACAACTCGAACATACAATGACGCTACGCGTATTTTGTCTATAGTTTCATAAAATAATATAAAATAATTAGGCTTTATAATTGACCGCCTATGACACTCGTGGGGGTCTGCGCTTAAGAACGTTTACCTGAAGTGGGTAAGGAAATGATATTTTTGTCTCAATCGGTCGTCACGACTAGTGACTAGCTATAAATGATATTATTCTATGTATAAAAAGGGTATAATTATGCCGATAATGGTCTGCGGCGATAACGAATATAGAGTGCTGTAGTTATTTACCACGTTGAGAACCGGTAGATAGAATGATACAGATAATAAGATAGAAGTTATCAAAGTGGTGTGTTATTTTGTAAGTCGTCAACCCGTACTCATAGAGTATATTATGGTTTTTAAAATCAAGCGATTACAATATGTGTATGGTTTATTAACACTTTTGGCATGATTATTTCAACCCACCGGGCACTTCTTGATTTTTGAATTTATCGTTATAAATATACCCAACTATTATAAACGTGTTAACGGTTTATGATTTCTCCGACAGTTGTAGTGGTCATAGTGCAAAAGTTCAACTTAAATCCTATGCATTATTTTTGAATATAATAATTTATAGCACATTTGTACAACAGTCAACCAAGTCCCCTCACTGGCGATTTTCCCTATATTGTATTCTGGGTAGGCACATGTTAACTCAGCTAAAAGTACCTTTTTTTAGTGTTAACTCCGACAGTGAAAAATCAAGTAGGTAACAGTATAAAGGTTATTATAATAAATTATTATGAAAAAATATCATTCTCGTCAACATTAAATATTACGCGTAATATAGGTATCAACAAATGTATACAACTTGAAAACATAAAATGACTAACCAAACGGTATAAAAATAAATATTATATGAAATCAAAATAAACAATTTGTTTATTATAATAATCATCATCATTAAATAATAGTCATAAGTTTACGTATATGCCAAAAAATATACATAACTTAAAAATAAAAATAATAATGTCCGAACAAATCATACAAATTGTAATATTGTCTATTACGTCAAAAAACATAACAAATAATTGTAAATAATCATAAAATTTGTACCTAGGTATGTTTCATGTCATGTTATATTATAAGTAGGTAATATTATTTTGAACGTGAACTACAATTATATTGCACAATTTAAAGATATTCTTCGAGATATTCTCACTTCTAAGTCTAATAAGGATATATATAGTATACATAATCTAGATCCATTATTATAATTATTTATAGCGTTCTCTAACATTATCAACATTTTTTCCATTTTGAATTTTTGAGCTTTTTTGGTCGCACAAACAAGGCCTAGAGCAGTTTCCATATACCTATTAGAATTTAAAGGTCAGAAAATAAAACTGACAAAGTTTACAGTCGACCTTCCGAGTACGTGTAAATGTGAAATCGTAAGACTATAATAAAGAAAATACTTTACACTGTATCTTCAGAATTTTTCAACATACCTATTTCGACGAATAAAAAGTAGAAATGTTGTTCGAAAAAAACATAGACGATGTCAAAACGAGCGCAGGTTCAACACCTGCAATATTGTGACGGGTTTAAAAGAATAAAAAACCACCGAAATTCCAACGATAGACATTTATACCCCATTGATATAATCCCTGAATTTATACCCCCCCCCCCCGTGGTTATCAGTACAATAACGTCGTAAAATATTTAATATTAAACAACATGTTTTGCACTACGAACAATTTTACGATAAATTGTAATATTGGCGGTAGTTCTGCTCGACGACGACGAAATTATAATCCCGACTCCGGTAAAAACCCAAATTACCTGTTGGTGGCAGCGTCCGAGTGGGTAACTATATAAATCCTGTGCACTGCTCGGCGGCGGTAATCAACGGAGAATCCGGTGTCATCGAGTCATCTCTCCAGACGCAGGTCGAGTCTACCACCACGTTCGGTACGCACACCCGGCGAGGAGACCGTACAGCGATTTAATTTTATTGTTCTAGTGAAAATCTCCTTCGAATCGTCTCTCTTACACCCACAATCGAAAACCCGCCAAACAACTTCGACGCGACGAACATACACAGTATTGTAATAAACGTGACACGAACTGCATTCACCGGACGACTGCGATGTACTACGCTGTTTACGACCGTTCAGAACCGCATGTGGCACATACCTACCGCGATAACGTGTGCGCGCAAGTACCACACTACCACAACGCTGATAACAAGTCGTTGTTGAAGGCCACCGCGCGATCACCACCACCACGGTCGTCGTTGCCGACATTTCCACTACCACAGCGCGCTAAAATACGCTGTAGCACGACACCGTCGTGGTTGTACACTTATCCGATAAACAATACCAATAATAATAAAAGTATTGTCGGAGATAGGTATTTGTGCACCTAGTTGTTACAAAGTATGAAGTATTCAGAGTTTGGAATTATTGTGACCGTCGTCGGCACTGTCGTGCGCGAGTTACCGTTTTAGATGCAACCAATCGAGTTATACCACTAGCCACTTGTAACTCGTTACAAAAATATAAAACAGGAATTACTATTTCGTTTGATCGTCAGGTATGTGGGCAGGAGTACATAACAAAATAAGTTACATTTTTAGGAGATTTTTTTTTAACTGTTTCATTATCTCTCATAGATTATGTAGTTTATTAGCTTATACCATGGACTTGAGAGAGAATAGACTGGAAACGACAAAAGTCAGGTGAGTGACGGGGAAGCGGAGATATGTTGAGAATTCGACGGGTTCGTGATACATGTGTAAGGAAGAGGTGGAGTAACGCATACAAATTACCAAGTAAAAGCTATGAGCCAGATCCTAGTTAATATTTTGATGATTATAGGTGAGACACGTCTCTCGCAAACCTTCTGTGGCCCGTTGACAAGGCTCTTGTTTCCAATCAGTAAATACATCCTATATCTTAGTCCGTGGTTTATACACAACAGTTTAAATTTAAACGATGTTCAGAATCAGAATATTATAGCGGCGACGACTTATGAATATTATAACTATAAGGTTTATATTTTCCATTTGTGTCTTTTGAGCTTTACATTTTTACAACCAACTACACCAAGTCATATTCAACAGGTATCGGGCGTTGAACATTATTATAATTTAAATGTGTACACGCTAGTGCAGTCGGGCATAATATCATTAAATCGTGTATACCAATATTCGTGTACCTTCGCGTCACCCGATATTCGTGCCGTATGTATATTTTTTTTTTTTTGGTTCACTTTTGTTCCTAACGCCTTATTCGAATATCGCGCGTAGTTGATTTAATGACGACGGCGTGTGTTTCAAGGCTCGTCGATGGACGTTCTATATTAAAACATCGAGTCGTCGACCACTATTGTGCCTATACTGATGACTACAACGACTGTTCACTGTCCGATATGATATTATTTACACGATGCGGCGAAGTATGTATAGGTACACATCGTAATACTATTATGAAGTAACTGAAATCTGAATACCGATACCTACACAGCGTCGTATACAACATTGGCTTTCGCAGTGGCGTTTTATTCCTTTAGGTATTACATCTGTTTTAAAATATCTGTATCAAACGGTTTTTAATGATCATCATTCATTAATCATTATATTATGTAATATGTTTTGGCTTTATGTTTGAATCAGAAAACAGATTAGGTACTTTCACGCGAGTATTCAGAATTTTATTTCGGGGGGCTAATCAAAATGTATAAACTATAAACATCGCAAGTGAACTCAGTTCGCCGTTGGATATGAACGGTTAACACCCACAAAGATTATTAGTGTGCTAGATGGTACATGTAAACGAAATCATAGTTATTGATAAGATAATTCAGATAAACTATCAGAAAAGCGTGTGACTCTCGGCAATCGTTATCGACAGGTTTGAAATTAGTAGGTATCTATGATTTCCGGTACTCTTTTTCCCGTGGTAAAGTTTTGTCCATGAGCGATACGCGAAACTAACAAATTAAGATACGACTTTAATAAATTTAAGACAAATTTCATCGATGACTTTCATCATAGATTAAATATACTATTATATTTTATCTATGGTTTAATAGACTATGGAAATAATTTAAGATTTTCTGAAAATGTCAGGAGAGCGGCAGCCCCCCCCCCCCCCCCCCCCCGTAAATACGCCTCTAGATACCATAATAACCATACACCCTTATACACATAAAAATAAAATTTGTTTTGTACTTTTCAGTTATTCAATGCAGACAACCGTAGATATATAGCACAATAGGTATTACATGTCTATGCAGACAGCTGTAGTTATTACCGCAGCACTCCGATATAGTCCCCCTCTCCAACAGCACACACACCCACACACACATACATATCAATGCCAGATTATTTCTACCTATAGACTCGTGGACCGCCAGGAATTCGTGGCTATAACAAAGACCGTTTTTGTATCTATATAATATAAAAAGAATAGTTTTTCATTAATGGGTATTATAATAAATTATAATGGGCGTAAAAAAATGATTTAGAATGAATCGTTTATTAGAAGAAACCATAAAATGTGTTTTGAATTTCAACCTTTTTTTACAGGTTTTTTTCGGGTACATAGGTATGTGTAAATAATGTGAAATATGCATGATATTAAAAGATCAAAATATCTACCAGACTGTTTGCAGGTCACCTCTATACCCTCGAACGAAATTCAATATGGTAATTACTCATTACACGTTTACAAGTAATAACAATTGACGGAATAAATATTATAAGCTTATAATATTACATACAGTCCATATAGATTAGGCATTCAAATACCTATTATGTACACGCGTTTATAATAAGTAATAACTATTGCAGAGTCGTTTATTTGATATTAGAAACGTATTTTATTACATGTAATTTACGTACCTGGTTATTTGTCAAACGTAGGTATATTACATAACTACATAGGACACATAATGAAACAAATAACAATATGTACTCACTAATGCAGGTGTACTGGAATATCTACCTAGTTTATGGTTCTCAATAATTTATTGAAACATTTTATCTCGTTGTATAATAATAACTAGCTGTCTAGATGTTTAAAATAATATAACCACCTATTATTTCAATATTTTTTTTAGTATTTAATATCCATTAGAAATACTAAAATCAAAGCTTAATAACACTTGTTGTTCCATTCTAACTATACATTTAATATAATTAAATATGAATCTATATATTATGCATATATATTATACATATATTTATTTATTTTACATGAAAAAATATTGTTGAATGAAATGAAGTACCTGTGTTAAAGTTGAAACCACACTGCCAATTATAAAGGATGCCAAACCTTAAAAAAAATATTAAGCCGCATCAAATCCAAAAACAGAATGACAGAAACTCATCAACATATTCAAACATATACTGTACCACCTGCACCTCACAGAAGAGGACATGGAGCTCAAACCCAAAAGAAAAACCCTCATATGCCGAAACCACAGCGAACACCCCACCACCCAATCAACCTCTGTAAATCGTCACCAATTTTCCGAACGAGATAAAATTAGTCCTAAGCCCCCTCCTAGCTGCTAGAGCAGCTAGAATGCTTAATAAACAAAATCCCACTCCCCATCGCTCCCACTCCACGCACTGATACCTTCCTATGGTAAGTTATACCATATTTAATATATAACTTCCTAATTGTATTAATAAACTTGTAATAGCATGTAATATGTTGACACATTTAAAAAATATAATGAATAAAAAAAAACTTTTCTTTTTCATGTCGGAAATTTTGAGCACTATAAAAAACCAACGGTTTTAAAATGATATCAAATCTGTAAAAATAAATAGTTATTTCAAGGGTAAAATTTTATAAAAATATATAGTAGGTAGGTGATTATAAAGAGTTAATACTTTTTGGTAATTTAAATGCATTTGAAAAATTGTACAAAATACCGAAATTTATTCCTATTATCCGTAATTTTAAATAATAATATGATACAATGCTATTATATAAAAATAAACACTAAACTAAGACAAGTGTTCATCAACCATACACTGTTTACACTCTATAGTATATATCCTGTCCATATCAACTTTTTTTTATTGTAAATTAAATATTTGAAAAACTATCGAGTGACTAATATATATAAAATAAATCCTGGTAGTAAAAATATGATATAATAATCACCAAAATGAAGAATTGGGGAAACAATTAAAACACAGGCTAATAAGTAACGAGTAATAAATGCTGATAGCTAATTACTAATAAAGTAATAACTAATATTTCGTATTAATTTATTATATTAAAAAATAAAATGGAAAAAAAATCTAGTAATATGTTTGCTCAACACATTGTACCAGTGAGTGGGGAAAATATTACATTACTTTTAATAACGATTTTTGGCAAAACAATTAATAAACAATACCATATTACCATGAGCTTTTTATAAAATCAATTTATTCGAGTGGCTAGGTTTATAAATTATGGTTGCTGGTTATTCGATATTATGGCTTATTACTTATTAGTTATGATGTTCGTAGTGTACACTGTAACTACGTATTTGTTTTACGGCGCCAGTATACTGTATACCCACGCCACTTTGTGATTATATGGGTACCTGCGGTTGAGTTACGGTAACAAAGTTTCGAACATTCAACGATTTATCAACTATTTTTGTACGTGGAAAATATTTCACGTAACTATGTAGGAACTAAGAAGAACCTTTTATAAATTCTTGTGGTTTAAATAGAGGGAGTTATAGCTGCAATATAACTGTTATTATTCAATGTTATATTATTACAGATTTAAATTTCAAAGTAATAGTGTTCTTAAAAATAAAAAACCTAAATAACCACGATTCAAGAAGGCTGAGATTACACTTTTCTCGTCTTTATTAGCCAAGTTTATACTACCTTTATTATACACTAGGTAACTGCGTTGGGCATTTATTATTAAAATGTTTTCATTATTGGGCGTTATTCGGTTATTAAAAATAAAGTTTTATGTAAAATCGTAAAACTGGGCATATCCTAGGCTTTAACTACCTCTTAACTATAATCTCTCTCCGCATATAAGTGCATAAATAAGTGCATTATTATAATATAGCTTCAAAACTTTCAGGTTTGTCTCACAGCTTAATTTACTTGCTTCGTTTCGCAGTACCTACAAATAGTAATCATTTTTACACATTTTGATGTAAACTGACAAACTGCTTAATGTGATAATATTATTAAAGTAATAACAAAAAACATTTTAGTATTATATCCACATTCTCAGTGTCAATAAGAGTATATAGAGTATATTAAGATATATAATAATATAATATACAAAATATAAGTATTATATGAGATATATATGATATAATAAACACATAATATACTTGGTATTTTTTTTTATTAAATAAATAGAAGAAGTAAGTATTTTAATTATTTTGAAAATCCAGTCATACGATTTACATTGTAGATATATTTTTAAGTTTTAAACATATTTTACTTTTTTTTAACACATTTTAAATTGTGCTACTTAGTAGGTACCTGTTTATAATGTAATAATAATAACTGCTCAAGAACATAATAAAACGTAAACAAACAAATAGTGGTAGGTATGATAATGAAAACATTCCCATCATCATCTTCTAGTTTTACTTGATAACATCAAATTATGATCTATTATTTCATATGATTTGCAATACAGCTGTAGGTATACTATGGCTATTAATAATATGTAATAGTTCGTTATATTTTGTTAAAGTTTGTCAAAAAAAAAAAAACAAAATTAGCTACTATCAATAAATATACAAATTAAACTAATAATATTATTGTCAAGTGTTCACATAAAGGTAACACTAACACATTTATAAAATCTAATTAGTTTACACAGCAAAAATTATTTGAATTAATTTTTTTCAGAGAGAGACATACATGTGTACCTATACAAATCTATTTATATGATATATAAATATATAAATATACATATTAAATCTTCTTCACTCAATTTACCGTGTCTGTAACATATTAATTGTTTTACACATTGTACATTAAAATGTAAAAAAAAAGAATATTTTTACAAAACTCCATGTCTCTCTCTTTCCTGTTTCTTATAAATATTAAATACCTATACATGTCTAAATGTAATTAATGTAATTAATCAATCGTATGAATGATACATTTTTTTCAATTAAAAAATTATTCCAAGCGATAAATACATATATAATTTATATTAAAAGTTAACCTAAATTATATTGTAATTTATTAATCCCCTAAGAAAAATTATTGTCGAGGTTTACATAAAATTCAAATTTGACTCGTAGTCCTTAATAATAAAGAACAACAATTATTATAATAATAGTAATAATAATTTAAAAAAAAACGTTTAATAATGTGATAATTATTGTCACCAAAAACACAGATTTGTTTCTTATTCTTATAAAATATTACACGAGATAGATATATATTATTATCATACATCAATAAAAAATAGGTAGGTACACGGGAAATCGATTTATTTTATTTTATTTTGTAGGTTTGTGTGTGGGTTAACGAAAAATGTTAAACTGCTTAATAATTGTATGGACTAAGATGTTTTCCTAACGTAATATAATGTTTTATTGTACTCTTATTTGTTTTCGATATATTTTGACTAAAACTTTTTTCTTCACCGTATCACCGCATATTGTACAGCTGAATGCTAATTGCTAATATTCGAGTATTTTATAAAAATAAATACCTAAAAATGATTAAAGTACCCACACACATTTACATAAAGAATACGTTTTATATATTCCCGGTACCGTTAAAATAATGTTAACTGCTTATAAATATAACTTTCCTTAGATATAATAATAATATAATATGTAGGTAGTAATACTTAAAATACATTATAATAATATTATACTTAAGACTTAAAACACATAATATAAAACTTAACCGATGAAACTTTTAACATGCTCTCGTCAAAAACAAAATATAATTCTATAAATTATAATAGAGTGTAAACAAAACAATAAAACGAATTAATGCTGAATGGATTTAGGACGAAACTTGAAATGGATAGATAATAAATAATAATAATATGATTATATACACTACGTTACGATATACATCCCACATAATCATTATGATCATATTACGCATTTCACCAAATTAAAAATAAAATTGTGTATTTATCTTTTTAACTCAATTATTTATTACATCATAGTCTAGACTCTAGGACCACCTGGGTGGTAGTTTAGATTCTTGTTTAGATAATTATACTCTCGGGGGTGGGCTATTAGATGTTTATTTCTTACTAATTTCAATTTTGGTAGTTCACAATTTATTTCTCTTATCCTGGATAATGTATATACGTTTTATGTATAAGCTTTTAAAAAAGGAAAATAACTCTGATGTATATAATATTATACTACCTACCTATATGGATGTAATAGGTATACGGTATTCAATGACATGTCACATGTATCAAGTGCCAGCTAATTTCTCGTTAGATAAATCCACTAATTTAAATTATTATATTTTATGACTGTATTGAATGTCAATTTTTTTTTACACAATATTCAATAGAAAAATATAATTTATCAGAAAATAACCATTTTATAGTTTTGTGTAACGCGTATAAAATTTAATGTATTATGTATTATGTAATCACTTTTAGATATCAATATAAACATAATATCTTAAATCATAATATTATGTGTTGTATTATTAGACTTGCATCTAGAAAAAAAAATTGGGAGGACGAATAATTAGCTATTAATTACTGTAGGTACATTTCTTTAATATTTTTATTGTTTATATATTTGTCAAGAGCAAAATCAGATAAAAATAAAAAAGTACTTAAACATTTACAGCTTGACGAGAGAACTGAAGTACAGCGTATGATGTTCTATTATTATTATTTTATATTATATATTTTATATTGTATATTAATTTATTATCATCTGCACATAGGTACAATAACCATATTAATAGGTATATGAATTACGTAAATAGTTCGTTACAAAAAATTATATAAAAACGATTAACATAATATATTAAACGTAATAACCACTTAAAACATATATTTTATTGTCAATAATTACCTATATTATATTTTATAGTAAGCTTATTCCTTAAAATGTAATCGACTAAAACCTAGAAAATATTATTGTCATTTTGTATCAACATTCAGTATATTGGTTTAAAGTTCAAACGTTACGATTACATAATATTATAATATTTTAATATTCTATTATATTATAGAATGGGATACGCGAAGAATTTGGATGAACGGTTACACATTTATAATATTATTATTATTAATAAATAATTATTACGATGACGGCTTGTGCGTATGGGTGTATTCGCAAATATCACTCGAGAATCGGCTCCTCTCTTAGATATTTATATTATGTTATTCGAGATTATAATATAATATTTTGAGCAATATTTTTCATAGATTTGATCGGCTATATCGAATTCGTAAGTCGTAACTAAAGTCGTAATCGTTAAAATATAAATGTTAATATTATTGTTGTAAATTACAATATATTATATTATTATAAATAGTGTGTGCTGTCGAAAAATTGTGGAATAACAAATTCATCGACACTCGAATTGACTGAGACGTAGTGTCGTAAATAATATTATTATGATTCGTAATCGAATTGACGATTTATGTCATTTTTAAATTTCTATAAATTGGAGTATATATTATATTATGACCAGGGCTGTGAACTTAATGCATTTGAATGGTTTTTATGCAACACTGTATAAAAAAATGGATTCGGCCAACATTTGTTTTGATTTATTCATAGTTTAAATACGAAATCGAATTTTGCATACTTGACGGGTCAGGACATATAATTGTACGTTTTTCATGATTAATTCGTATCACTTCTTATTTTCTTAAAATGTTTTTCTTTTCAGTCTAAATGTCTATAATCCAAAAGATTATAACATGATGTGTCAAGTGTTTCATTTTTTCAAAACATTTGCGAGATACGAGTAAGTGCGTCGTAATTAAATTTAAAAAAATGTATTGTAAACCATTTTTAATTATTATTTATTAATAAAGACGTTTTCATAGAGCATTTTTTGAATTTAAAGGGTATATTTTTGTATATTTTGAATTTGTAGTGCATATTACTTTTTAGTGCATTAAATTCGCAGCTCTGATTATGACGTATTTTTCGTATACGAATCGTTAAGAGTTGTCGTGACGTTTATATTACGTCACGACATTTATTGGGTATAACTGAATGTTATTATTAATTTATTTTTCAACTTTAGAAGTGAGCGAATCTGTTTATAATTGTATGCTGTGCGTCTTATTACTTGGATATTGTTTAGGTGGGCGTCTATGGATCATCACTTTTCTTTTCGAGTTCTTGAAACGACGTTTCTCATTCAAAATCCTTCTACCTCTTCTGGTTTATCATTTGTAATAAAGACAAAAAATTTACTTAATATTGGATTTTTATGCTGAACATGGAGCCGAAGAGTTGGTTGTCGTGTTACACATATATGCGCAAACGTCATGTGCCATATCTGTAGAAAAATAATATTATATTATAGACGGCGGAGGTTGAATTTTTCAGAATGTTTATTTATTTTCATCGAAATTACGAAATAGTTTGACTACGAATTAACGTGTGTTATAAAATGTTTACCTATACATCTACATACTACATTGCGACAAATATCGAACAAACAGAACACCTGATATCATAATAAATTATAATCTTTGTTTGTCGATAACGATGCCGACATGCTGTAAGATGATTTAATTAGTATTTATCTAATTACTTGTTTTGTATTATTGTGGAAACCGAACTACAATTTATTGCATTCGCGAAACTCTTCTCGTCAGCCGACGGCCACCCTTCTTTTTTGTTGTGCGAATTCTGTTGGGATATCCCAGAAATACCACTACTGTTATATTATTATAATAATATTGTTTTTTTTAAGGCGGCGGCGAGGTCTCTTTTGTATGTCTATCGGAGAAAATAATTACCAGCAAAGAAGCTTAATAATATACAATATTGAATTTACGACTTAACCGTACGAACTAAATGTATAATAGTATACTAAATTCTAATATATTCTACTTACAACGATCTACCGTTAAAAGTGCGTAATAATGTATAATATTATACATTAAATTATGTTACCTATATTATTATAATTTATAATAATATGCCTTAACGTCTACAGCGAAAATCCACACAATTATTAGTTTACTATGTGCACAATTAATGATATTATACAAATGATATGTTTGGTTTTGCTTGATATTCTTAATGTTGGGTAAACTGCATTTTCGTTTTACGTTTAGTTTGTGCGTTGAACACGGTCGGTGTGTCTCTGTTCTTGATTTTATAATATTTATAACTTTTTGATAATATATAGGTAAGTAGTATTGCTCGTAAGAGAACCAGGTACCGCTTTTAAAAATAGTATTAGGTATTATTGCTATTTGCCCTATAGATGACAAACAATAATGAACACCATTCGATATCCAAATTAACGGGATTAACGTGTTTTGTTTGTCGTTATCGGTGTTAGTTCACCTGTAACCGTCGCCGACCTCCGTCGTCGCCCGCAAGTCAGATGCGATAAGATGGCCATGAAGTGTGAAACATTCGAACATCAAACTTACTATATTATAGTACGTACCTGGTACCTATCTGCTATTTTAATAAATTAAGTTAATATTTTTTCTACATAGTATTAAATCGAATAGCAAATCAAAAGTTTTTGATCGAAAATAGACCAATCTATGAGTATAACGATAATATTGGTACTCGTATATTAATGTATACTCAAGTTTAATAAATAAATTATATTCTAAATAGCGAATCTAAATCAATAACAGACGTCGTCATCATTGTATAATATTATGAAAGACTGATATATGATTTTATTTCATATTATTAATATCGTAATACTACATTTTTCAGAAGTATTTTATTTTTAATCGTTAAAAATAGAAATGAACAAACCCACCACACATTTTCTGTATTCATTCGTTTCGTTTTAATTGTTTCGGTAGACGGTAGGTACCTTCAGCTATTGAATAATACTACTGTAATCGGTCAAATGTTTCAATGTCAGACTCGGGATGGTCGCGAACACTGGGACAGGTGCTTTGGACGACGGCGTGCCAACTCACAAATCACGGACGTAAAAACGGAAAGCACATAATATAGTAAGGTATTAAAATATGCGACAGCGAAGATTGATAGAAATTCGCTCGCATCGTATGTTGTCCTATATTATATAGTTGTTGTAGTTGTAGGTATCGAAATATCAATTAAAAACATTAGTTGTCGAAACGACGGGCTCCCGAACGCCGGAGACGAAAACGTTTAATTAAAAAAAAAAAATTATTATTCTATGTACACACGCGACTATAATAATATTATTAAGCCCACCGTACTAATCGTACGGTAATAAATGCGACGAAACTGTGGTAAGACTGTTCAGTGGCATGCACAGAAAAGGTACGAAAAATGTCGTCCGAAGATAACATTTTTTTTATACGGACGGTAAGTAATAATATCGTTATTCTCGCGGTCAACAAACGTTCACGTCACTGGTGTTCGGAGATCTCCGACGTCGACGACGGTGGCGGCGGCGGCGGACGTCGAGTGTTGTACCATTATTATTGTTATTAGTCGGTGGTGGTATTGTTGTGATTAGGCCGCCGCCGCCGCTCCTCCGTCATCACCGTCGGGCCGCTATTTACCGGATCGTACGCATCACAGTAAACTAATCGTGAATATCCGCTGGACGACGGCTACAAGAGCGGTGAAAAGCGCGCACGTCCACGGCAGACCGCCGCGCTGGTTGCTGGCCGCGGCGTTCTTGTCGTCGTTCCACTTGTACCCGGGGTCGACCACGTGGATTTTCCATCCCACGAAAGTCTGTGAATAGCTCTGCGAAATTTACAAAAACAAAAACACTGCACGTGAAACGGTGTCATTTAAAAGATGGTGCGTGGTTGGGGTTAGGTTGGGTGCACAATACCACGGTCGAACTCATATTTTGACCGTTATACCGAGTTTTCAAACGTCACTCGCCATTTTTATATTGTCGTATACGCGGGTGTACTACCAACTTCACGGACGCGCGGTGTCCCGTGAGTTAGTTTACCCATTGCGATATCTCCTGAATGAATGGCGATATCATAATGTGTTTTGTTTTTTTTATAAGATTCACAGCGGGTACAACGACTACACGTATTGCATATTTTTATTTAATTCAATGTTTTGGTTAAAATGTTTTAAAAATGATTCTTTATTTAATTATTTTCAAAAATCTTCACGGGACAGTCTGTATCTATATTTTTGTAAGTAATATTATAGTATAGTTAGTACGTATTATTTGCGTTGAGTACCATACCCGATATTTATATGATTTGTATTCTAGGCTTGAATATTTTAAACTCATTAATTTTACACGCTTTTATACGATGTGTATCTCATATCCTCATATATATCTGATAATTAAAATTATATTAGGTACATAAATTACTCTTTATTAAATGTTATTTCTTAACAATTTGTTGGATATGATTTATTCCTATTGGAATATTGAAATTACTATACAACTATAATATTATTATGTGGTTATATTATACTCAACGAGTGACTAAGTCGCTTATGCCTAAAAATAATATTACCGATGATAAGGCGTTGTGTCTTCGTAATTTCTTCTAAATGAAATATAATAATATTTAAAAACCACACTTGATTTATATAATTTTAAAACTGCCGAATGTTTGAATAAATATTTTTAAGAAAAAAAAATAGTTATCTTAGATATATCTAGAAGAATACCTATCTTCACTGTATTGTACATAAGCATTGTTATCCTTCTATTCAAAATTATTTTGTGTAACTTCAATTTTTCAACTAAATTGCATTTCCCTAGCTAAAAAAAATGAATTATAATTTCACCTGATAGTAGACCAGATCCGGTGTTTCTTCAGCCACCGTCCAGTTTAGTAAGCCAACGTTACCATTTTCACACGATAATTTCAAAGAGTCAAGAAAGGCGTTGAAGGTTTCCATTTCTGATGAACGGTCGTAAGACTTAAATTTGAATTCACAATATCGACCGGCTAAAACAATAACAACACACAGTATAAGTAGTATGTGTGTATATATATATATATATATATAGATTACATTTAATTATAATTTTCCAAATTTTTGGGAACAAATAAGCATAATCTATCTTATTGCCTACTAATAGATAAATAAATAATAGTTACAATAAAAAAATTAATAATATAAGATATAAAAAATGTGTGGTTTCCGCTCAAAATCGTTTTTCGTGCGCAATGATTAAAATCATTGAATTCCCGTTTAACATATCTATTACAGTGACCTGATATCAAAATATACTATACGGCAGAGCGAATTTTCCGGTTTTTTTTATTATGTAATTAAACAATCAAGGGGCTCGAATTTCATCTTAGATTCAGAGTGGAATGAATTAGTAATACAATATAATACATGGCTTTTATTTATTTTATTTTGTAAATTGCTTAAATTTTAGATCTTAATATTTTTGAATATATATATCAATAATAGCATTCAAGCCTAATTACATTAGTTATTAAATTATTGAGATACCTATTTAAAAAAGAGGAAGGAAAAACCCTTTTCTAGGGACAAGAAGCAACTTTAAGCACTTTCAAGTGAATTGGGTGGTATTCCGCATCCGAAAAGTACACTATATAAATCCGCGTATGTGTTTACAGTATTAATATTAACATAAAAAAGGTTTCATGTTAAACGTTTTACGAAACTATTGTAAAATAAATAAATGAATGTATATAGAATACCTGTAGTAGGAAAAGGTAATCCGTCAGAGTCGTAGACGATTCCGGCAAAGACCCGCTGTTTCCTCTGTTCCGCGTCGTCTTTCTGCCCGAATCCTCCTTCACTGCTGTCCGTGATGTAAAGCGGATGATAGTGTTCGCCTTTGTTGGGGTCATTCCCTTTACGAATTGTTAATTACATTCATTGAGTGTTTGCGTTTTAATCGATCTCGTTAATCATAATAGTAAATATTTGAATAATTTATGCAAACAATACCTACGTCTTGTGTATTGTACGCGCGTATACATAAATAATAAAATATTATTGTAATTAAATTACCTCCTTCGACAATGAACGTGTATGTCTGTCTCCTCTCCACGTAGATTTCAGGTATAAGTTTGTCGTTTATGTACCAGACGACGTCGCCCGTGGAATGCCCTAATATATTAACAATTATGGAAATATTGTTACACAGCTGATAATATTAGGTATGATTTTAATTTCACAACAATGTCCTGTTTATCATTACTAGCTAACTGATTATACTTTTTTCATCAGTTTTTAATTTTTTTATAGTAATACTGTTATTTATAACCATGTGTCTAAAATACTTCTATACTATGTAGATGGTATTAGACTTAGAAATAAATGATTCATTTCTTTGATTTTGAATCTAAGTCAATAACACTTCATTTTGGTTATTCATAAAACAACTCTGAATTTCTGATAATATTATGGTATGGATTTTAATTCCGTCGGTTCTTAAATAACCATGTTATGCTTAAAACATACTCACATAATACATTTTAATGAATTATAAAAACATTTTGAAATCTTTAATTGCATCTATAAAATGTATGTTAAATTCTTACCAGTAATAGCCATGTAACCCCGAGCGCCACCTGATGGCCCGAGCTTGGCTCTAAACTCTTTCTCGCCAATGATGATGTTAGGCGGCCAAGCGGACAGCTCCGTGTCATCGTCCAGATTGAATAGGGAAACCGAACACGAGTGATCGTCCCTGGAGTTGAAATTTATTCGTATTTCGTCTGCGAACACCATTAAGATTTGGTCATTGTTGGGATTAGGTTAGAAAGTTTTCGTTTTGGAGGTGGGTCCTTTTTGGAGGGGTTAACAACTTAAAATGCCCAAGTCCTCTATGTTATACATTTTTTTCAGTGAATAGGTACCTATTTAAAATCACAACAATATCGAAATAATATAGATTTTATTTTTTTGGTGTAACTAAAAACGTTGATAACCGTATAGACACTTGAAATACTTACTTTAGATTGTCACCAAATATTTATATTGACATTTTCGATACACGGAAAATTTTCAAATTTTTTTTTAATCATCTTTTATTTGTTACTGATATCCATGAGAATTTTTTCTAATTTTGTAAATTATTTTTCAGTTAGAAACACATAAGTTTTCCTTTCATAGCTAACATTAGACATTTGAACAGAAGATTCCCAATAAGTTTTTCTTTCTCCATCGGAAAAAAAAATGTTCACTGGAAAGGTAAGCTAATAGCCTTGGGATATTTTCGATTTTTATTAAAATTTTTTTTGATTATTAAAGTTGATTATTTATACAAGTATGCTAGAATGACACTATGTCTCTGCTCAGAATCATTTTTCGTATGCAATAATTTATTATTGAATTTAAATATAACACTTCCATTACAATGACATACTCGACAACAACTGTATAGAAAAGCGATATCCACTTGTCTACCTTTTTTCAAATTATTCAGTTAAGGGAATAACAATTTTAATAATGTTATTGTCGGTTTACCTTCTGCTTAATCGTGTGGTACACGGATTACCACTTACCACAATATACGAAATAATATAATGTAACATATTTTTCGAATACAAACACGATTGGCTAAATATTATATTAATAATATTATAAACAAACATCTATAGGTTTTTTAATTGTGTGTGTATAATTATGTATAAATCCGTAATTAAAGATCAATACGGAGGTGGTTATGGAGATTAAATTAACTCTACTAGTTAATTCAGGTAAATAATTGAGATAACATTATAAAAATTGTATTCATAAAGACAAAAGGAATCTTCAACAGCCGCACTGAAAAATTATTATGATTATATTATAGTATAGGTACATATACCTTTATGTATATTATAAAGGTATAATAACTTATAATAATGTATATCTATTTTTTCATTCATGCAGAAGGCACCTATAAGGTAGGTTTCCTAACCTATGTTATGTAGAAATATATTAAAAGCACTATGAAAATGCACGTTCGTAAAAATCAAAGTCAAATAACACAATAATAATTGACAATATGTTATAATAAAAAAAACGCGCGCGAACTGGATTATTGTGACACAGGTGTTTGTGTATGTTTGTGATAGCATTCTTCGACAACATTTTGGCGTTGAGTGATATGTGTCGATTGGTTTTATTTTTTCGAAATCGTTCTCAAACATTTCGAATCGAATATGATTTCGGCGAAGATACGAAAACCATATATTTGTGTACAAACAATAAATGTATAATATAAGACAAACAGACAATTTTTGCAATATCCGATAATGTACACTCGGATATGTTGAATCGGTGTTGTGTACTTAATTCAAAATTTTTTTTATATTTCAGCAGACCTCCTTCCTTGTAAAATATTCAAAATCTGCCACTGGTCCCTTGCAAAGTCTCTTCACCCCACCCGAACAACATATTTGACGAAGTGATAAATGAAATATCAGGGGTGGTCAGTGGTAAAAGATTTTCTAGCCACACATTATAATGAAAAATAATATGAAGAACAAGAAAAAGGAATAATACTTATTATCATAATATTATATCAGTAAACATTTTAAGACGTGAATTGCGGTTTGACCAATCCCGTTATATACTTATATAGTTATTATTATATAATTTAAGAGCCTTGAAAACGTTTATGGCGTTCGATTTTAGATTCTGAGAAAGTAGTAATAATAATTTACCTATAATTGTTTTACAGTGATAAGTGTTTTTTCTGTGTCTGTCTAAACTTTTTGAGTTTAGGGGGAGTAAAAATGTAAAAACTTTGAGGGTGGTGACGAATTTGGATCTACAGTTGTTACATTCAGGGGCCAAAAGTAAAACGATTTTCGGTCGTTTCAAAATATGAGATAAAAGAAAAACAACATTACGTAGAGAATTTTAGAAAGAAATCTAGACACAGTTTATCCTTCTCGGTAATCCGATATTATAACCTTAGTTACCTCTGGTCATGTCCTGGATGGCATGCGCGCCGGGCTGGTCGAAACTTCCCAGTGGGCCGATGGCTGCAATGACCAGTGCGGCCGCGTCCACGGGCACTGGCTGGTCATTGATGGGCTCGTTGGTCTGTACCGGCCGCCGGTACACGACGCATGTAACGCCGTTACGCCGAGTGCCGGTAACCAGAACCGCATCGTTCCTGCCCCCCAACCGCTCGTCCTGGCACACTCCGTTTTTGTCGTCGCACTCGGTGGTAGCAGATAGGTAATAGTCCTCCGCGTGGAACGAGTTCTTCGCCTGATTGTAGAACACTACCACCACGTCACCACCGATCATCGTCACGCTGCCGAGGTTAAATATTTATTAATTATACATATGATTGTTTGTATTTTGACATAAATATGTTTTTGGGCTGGCTACAACTTTATTTTTTTTCGATTTTCGTAACGCTTGTTACCATGGTACCCACCCCCTTCCAAGAAAACAAATTTATGATTCATAGATTTTCCTTGCAGAAGAAATGTATTAAATATGTTTAATATAGATACTGAACAGTCGACAGTCATATTTGTTTCGTTGATTGTATATTATTTTTTGGAGTATTATATAATAATAATATTCTGTATTATACTTATACATATTTACATATCAATATGAAATGTTATAAAAAATATGTCGTAAAGTCTATGCATTTATAATATACATAGGTACTAACCTATTTTGGTTGCCACTGAGACCAAATGCCATATATTGGTTTTCTCGTATCTTCCCGGTCAACTGCACTTGAACCCAATCGCCTTGCACTTCCCAGTGCACTTGTAATTTATCGGGTAATAGTTCTCGACAGTTGCTCATCTCCCAATGCCTTTCGGGATCTGAAGTAGTACTGCTCGTCTAAAGTAGCGTAAAACGTGATTGTTTGTTTTTTTCTAATTTTTATATTTTTTTTTTCGAGTGGAACAAAATATATGGTACAAAATGAATTGTAACCACTTAATATAAGCGTTAATTTTAATTACGATCAAATAGAAGAAAAAAATATCATTCAAGTTTGGGCCAACTCATTGAATCTTAATTTGTCTATACTAATAATAAGATAAAATTTGGTCTGGTTTATTAGGATTATTCAATGATATTAGTAATTTTTGAACATTGAGCCAAACATATATTATGCATTTAAGAATACTAAATTAGAGCTAAAAATATGATTAACATTTTTACTTACTGGATTGTACCACCATGTTGGCTTTAAATCCAAATTGCAGCACAAAATAAATACACACAAGTCAAAAACCATTATAATAATATATGAGTTGATAAATAGGTTTCATCATTAGTAATTAGTTTTATCAATGCAACTTTAAAAAACATAAACAATTTTGTGCTAGTAAACAAGACTTGAGCTTTTATAAGTCTTTTATAAACTCAAAGAGAATATATTTCTAAAACAAAATATGAATGTTTATGATTACTTATATTTTTTTAATATATAAGCATGGCATTTTCTAACCAAATATTTTGATAACATAGATTGAAAGATTTATAACGATGTATAACACACATTTATATTGATTTTTATTTGTATAATAATTTACCTTCGTAAGAATGTAGAAATATTACCAAATTAAAATCAGTATATTTAATAATTATTATATAATACGATTATTTGAAAATTGATAAAATATTTAATATTATTTTAAAACATAAAATATTTTCTTTCATCATTCATAATATATTCTTCTATTATGTAGAAATGGTTAGCTGTAATGAAGTTACGCTTGATTGTAGATAAAAAATAAATCAAATGATTTCGATTTTTTATGAAACAAATAATAATATTTAATATTAAAACGAATGTAAAAGTTTATACTTTCGTATAAAGGTAAATTTAACAATTTACAATTAAACTAATAATAGTAGAAAGAAACAAAATATGAGAGTATAATTCAATAATATCTACTGGGAAGGTTTGAATATATTATATATGAATAAAAAAGTTTTAAGCTAATGGATTTTTCGTAAAAATTTTATATCATTTATAAACCTGTATTTTTATGGACAAGGATAAAACACCAAAGATAATGGACACCCCCCCTCAAAAAAAAAAAAAAATTAATAATAATAATAAAAAAATATAAAAAGAGTCATATTCAACTGGAAATAAAACTGCTATAAAAAAAAATACAAATCATATTTTGTAAAACGCAGGTAGGCCACTGTATTAAAAAATAAAAAACTACTAACATAATCGATAAAAAAGTACAAACGTTAATATACTATATAGGTACTTAAGCAAAACGAAATAATATAATAATAATGATAAAAAAAAAAAATAATAATAATACATAACGACAATAATATTATAGTTAGTACGTTGTGTACGTATAGAATTGGCGGGAACAACCATGATGGTATGCGTGTCACAGAGTATGATAATAATGGTCGTTGGGATACCGCGGTACCGGGGCCAAGACTTCACGTCTGGTATGCGGGTAAGATCCGAAAACCCACAGGGGCGGCGGCGGCGGCGACCACGTCTGATGGCGCCGCGGTTTTTTCGACGGCCCCACAGTCGTCGGCCTGCCGCCCGAGCCCTGACCACCACCGCCGCCTCTGAGTCTACTACTCACGGTGAGCTTGGTCTGTCCCAACGCCGGCGGCACGTCCAAGTCGTCCGGTACGTTGACGTGACCGAAATTGTGCGTGTACTGCACGCACCAGACGGCCAGCCAATCGATCGAGTGCATCGTCAGGCTTCGTGGTAATTGGATTTCTATGTCTTCCCCCTGGTAGCCCTTCAGCGGTTCCAAGCTGAAAATACAAACAAGTATACTATAATGCTCATTACATAAAAGCGCGAGGCCGAAAAACGTCATTGTTCGCGTTGCACTTCAATGACGATAGTGGTAAAATAACGGAAATAATAATAATTGGTATAATATACCCGCGAGCACTGCACGCGACCAGTGATACCACTGATCGATATGATATTTTTAGATATTATGTAGCGTTGAGCTATGAGTGAGGTTATACAGTGTTCTAGTATATTATAATATTATTATTTTTTTACTATAAAACCTGATACAGATTTAAAAAATAATGATATACATGACGGTACATTTGTAAAATTTGCAAGAGGAGGTGTACTACTTATTGTATAAAACGTATTCAAATCGGTAAGACGGTACCTACCTAACTATAAACAGAATGATTCATTGATCATAATTAAGGAAAAATATTTTAGAAAATATACAAGGCTTATTTAAATGTTTACAATTTTATGAAAAGTAGGTATTTAAAGTCATAGTATTATATAAACCAACACAATAATAATAAGTTCTTAACCGATAAAAATAAAAATAAATTTAAAAAGAATTGTATTTTTTTTAAATATGGTTCACGATAAATGTTGTTTATTATTTTCATACAATATATAATAATATGCGTTTTAAACGTGGAAGTGCGGTTGCCACGAGCGACAAACAAAATTCGCTGTATGAGCATCACTCATCGAAGATAAAAAGGCAAGTGACTTATTCGTTTTCGGTGGCCGTGCCATCCCTTAAACGTCGACCATGGAAACGATCAAAGCCAGTCAGACGTGTTACTTGGAGAAGCACAGGATATACGAAATGTTTAGGGTACGTACATAATACACATATACGGATCAGGCGTGTGTTCAATAAGACATTTCAAAAACAACCTTTCATTAAAACCATTTATTGAAGATGTGTAGACGAACTTATAATATCACAATCAAAAACTCGTACTAACATTTATTATGATTTTTCAATCAGTAAACATTTTCACACGCAATTTCGTTAGTTCAAAAATTCTTCGTGTATTTGTAAGTCGACATGTCTTATAAGTACAAATGTACAATTGTTTTTTAAATAATTTTTGATCTCTCATAGTCGGTTTATTCATTGATCATACTTGCTTACTTGTTTTTTTCCCATGAATAATATTTTTTTGGGCTGGATACCCAATGTAATGTTTCTGACCGATTTATAGTAAGTTTTTCGTTGTCATGGTTACTTTTTAACAGGAACATACCCTCGTAGAGGAAAAATATGAGTAGAGTGATATGTGTTTTTTTTATTTAATAATCGTTGTCGCTGTTTTTAACGGTTTAAAATAGTCCTTCCCATGCTATAGTCCTAGACTATTTATATACTAGCGTATTATAGGGTCAGACAAATAACATTTATATCAACGAAATTTTTTTGTTCATTTATAGAACATGGTCAAGGCTCTCGTCATGACCCAACCCCCGGACCCTTTACAGTTCATCGAGTGGTATTTGAAATGCCGGCGTCACGTGGACGTACCGAAAATCCTGTTGGTAGCTCCTCCCGATCACAGGTTGGATACAGGTATATACCGCTTGTGAAATATTTTCCCTTACGGCTTACGCTCACTGATCGTCCATCGGGGAAGAGTCGGGGTAGAGCTTATATGCAGTTTATTGTGATCCGAAATCTTGTGCAAACATTAACTACCATATACTCACCGATTTTGTTTAGACAAAGTGAAAGTTGCACTCAACATAGCCAAAAGCACCGGAGTGGTAACCATCGATCGGCGGAACGTATTGCGCAGACACCGGAAAAATCGAGTTCGTACACATACGAGATATTGAATTTATACGCCATATTATAATGTATTATTTACCCACCACGATATCTTTGTATACGCATTCCTATTATATTTTTTATTCACATGAGTGTTCCGTGTAGGTATATTTTATGCAAAGTACTTGTTAAAATTAGAAAATACGGATATTATTGTTGTAAGTGTGTATAGGTACTGCATATGCATAGGAAAAAAACCTTAAAAAATGAAACATAGAACACAAATGTTTTCATATTTCTTTTACATAATATTTTGAAAAACAGTATCAAAATAAAATGAAAAAGTATATTAATATACAAAAACGTACTATTATCTGCAGAACTTCATAAATAATGATGATAATAATATGCTAGCTATGAAAAAAAAATATCGAATTGAAAAAAAAATGTATTTTATATTTGAACACAGTTTATGAAGTTTTAAAACTACCTAGTTTACCTTATCTAAAACGTTTTGATTTAAATGTCATACAAATAAGATAAAAAATAAGTTATTTTAATATCGTTATTATAATAATTGTGTTCAGAATTTAGCAATAGTTTATTTTTATTTAAAACTTATTATACTCAAGGTACAATAACCCACGTGGTCAAAAAATATTTGAAATTTAAAAACTTTGGTGCGTACGATATTAATGTTTCGAACGTTCAAAAACCTTGTTTGTTATATAAACTCACACCTTTAATATATTATTAGTTGTTATAATGATAAAATTATGGCATGTACATCGTTCAAGTGTGATTTAGAAAGACGATGATAACGGATGTGATTATACGGATTTTACGGAAGTGTTGATAGAGTACATGAGAGCGAAAGGGGCCTCCGTAAAAGGATGGATACTGTTAGGTAATATAATACGAATAAGTCTTAAAATCTCGTCGTAATATTCGAGGTGTTGTATATTTTTTGTGTTTAAAGGTATCCCAAACAGTAAAAAAGAAGCAGACATGATGATAAGTCTTGGTATTCTACCGACACACACAATCGTGCTGAACGAAACTGCAGGTAAGAAGATCGTGAATTTCACAATTTTAAACCATTTAAGATGGAATAATATTATTAAATCGGTATACTGTCAGCTGCGTATTATTCTATATAATTGTTATTATTAATATTATTATCATGATTATTTTTATGTTTAAAATTAAGTGCAATTTTAATTTTCAGCTTTATGCGATAATCGGACAACAATTAATAAGTTCAATCAGAATTATAAAAACCTAAAATTTGAAATCAAAATGAAATTTCGGTCCACCTTAAAAGTTAGTTAATCATATCAATATAATAAATAATATATACCACTTATGCACCTTGATATAATATAGCGTGTTGAGTTAAAAAAGTTGATGAACCTTGTGCGAAAACGCTTACTTATATTTTTTTTTCCAATAACAGTATTAGCTACATGTTAAATTTTTTTTTAATCTCGAAGAACTTTCTACTTACCACAGTACTATTTAGTTACAAAGTATTCTTGTTTTTTATCATATATATATACTATGAAAACAAAAGGTATTAAAATACTCATAGCAATAGTATTAAAAGTAATTTTAATTCTAGGTGGTAAAACGTATTATTCATCTTATCTTCATGTCAAAGTGGTACGCTTTACACACTAATCAAATCTCTACCCATTTCAATATTACATACCTATAATACCGATATTTTTCATTGATTTGGGTAGGAAATCAATGTGGAGGGTAAATCTATCGACGAGATTACAGAATTATGTCTGGATCAAATAGTATGCCAAAAACCGTCAGACGTTCCGTTTGTGCCTAGAGTGGCAATTATCAGTCCTTTAGGATCGGGACGTTTCATCATCGCCAGTGCTCTATCCCACAGATTCAATTTAGTCAACGGTAGGTGTTTGAGAGTGGGTGGGAAAAAAACATAAATTTATCAGACAACTTCCCCAACACCCATATTATGATGTTAAATAATTAATTTAAAAATAATTATATATATGATGTGTCATATACAACTGTTATCATACATCTCGTGCGGCGTGCAGTGGATTTTGATCAAATGTTGGAACAAAAAGTTATCACCAGTGACAGAAAAATCGCAGAAGAAACGGCATATACGTGGTTAAAAGTGTGTATAATATTTACATAACGTAACGCCTGTCCAGCGAGAGAAAAAGTCGACTCTGTGCATCCCCCCTTCAAGTAGTCATCAATACCTCTTATGACTGGGTGATGATCAGAAGAATCGGTTTTTGGTAAGTCTGTGGTGTGTTCTCTCGCCGGACAAAGTATACGTAAACTTAAAAAAAATTAATGATATACTATTTTATGAAGTCACTTCTTTTGTTTTAGGAAAAACTAACTGAAGAGGATTGTATGGAAAATGGTTACATTATCAGAGGTTTTCCGCGTACAAGAGCCGATTTCGAATGGTTGGATTCAACCGAAATGGCTCCCAATCGGTAGGTGTATTATATTTAATAGAGTGATTGTTTTAACAACAGATGAAAATATGTTGAGAGTTAATCATTGTGTTAAAAAAAAAAACTATTGAAGGGGGAGGGGCTAAAATTATCCAAAATAAATATAACCATATAGGTATCAGAATGGGCTTCAAAGAAAAGTATGTATTATTTATTTCAGTATGACAAAGTAGTCGATAAACCCAAATTTAATAGGTTTAATAACAAATTCATTTATACCATATTATTATTTACATAAAATATAATTTATTTGGCTTTAACAAAATTGTGGACTGTTCAAACGTTTTCTTTAATCCACAGAGTAATTTTTTGGGCTATCAGTTTCCCGGAATTATACTGTCGTTTCAAGAATAGGTGCTTGGTCAAAAACACCGGAACTATTATGACCCTAGACCGAGCGCTCGACGAGCTGAAAGCGGGTACGCTGAAATTCGAACACTTGAGTCGGTATCCTTTAAATTCTGGAAAATTTCTATGCGAGTTCAAAACGTATTGCGAACGTTTAAAAGTGAGTCTAAGTTATCGATCTGTTTCCGTCGAGTTTGGACGTAGCCTGACATCGTTTCTGCTCGCTTATCGCGTATTTTATTCTTATCTTATTACTGTTGTTCGAAGTCGTTCGTGCTCGCAAACGTTCTTTTTGTTACTATTTTTGATATTTTAAAATGATCTGTTCAATTTGTAATGATGAAATTTCCACTGGAGAACATATAAAATGCAAATTATGTAATGAATACTTACATTTTGTATGTGCGGGATTCAGAGAGTCTGTTTTTAAGAAAACATCGGAGATATCGAAAAAAGCATGGGTATGCAGCTCTTGTAAACTTAAGGATAAGTATTCACCAAAACTTCTGGCTCAAAATGTCGTAAAAAATAACGATGTAAAAAATAACGTTTCCACATTCTCAAACGACACAATAGAAGCCTTAGTAAAGTCTGTTGAATTTATGAGCGAACAATTTGATATTTTTAAAAACCAAGTTAAAGAAATTTTTTCCTCTTTAAAACAAATTCAATCAGAAAATAAATTGATTAAGGATCAAAACATTAAATTATCCGAAGAAGTTTTACAACTTAACAAAAGAATAAACTCACTGGAACAAAGGTCCATTGAAAATAATGTTGAACTTGTTGGTGTCCCAGAATCCTCTGATGAATCGTGTGTTGATATCGTTAAAAAAATTGCTTCATACCTAAACGTTGAAATTGTAGTCCACAACGCATACAGAGTATTCTCAGGTAAAAATAAAAATCCTAGAAAAATTGTTGCCAGCATTAATTCCAAAGAATCTAGACATCAACTTCTAACTCAATCAAAAAAAAATGAAATTCAAGGCTAATCAACTTCACCAGGACTGGGAAAACAACTACATTTACATTAATGAACAAATGACACAAGTTAACAGAAATCTCTTTTACAAGGCGAAAAATGTTGCACGAGAGGTTGGTTTTAAATTTATATGGTTTAAAAATTCGAAAATTTTTGCAAAAAGAGATGAAACGTCTAACGTTTTTATTATTGATGACAATAATTCATTATCTAAAATAGTTTAGTAAAGGTTGTTCGTCATAATAATTTACTTACCTACTTTCATTTTTTTTTTTTTTTTTTTATAATTTTTCTTTCTTTTTTCTTTTCTCTTATTTACTTTAAACTACAAACATGGATATTCTTAATTCGGTTAATCCATATTTAAACTATAAAACTAAATACTATGAATCCATTTCGGAATATTTTAACGAATTAAACCTGTCCAAAAAAGATTTTCTTAATGTAATATGTGTTAATATAAGAAGCGCTAATGCAAATTTCGATCATTTACTTTTATCTTTTGAAAATGATGTAATGTTCAAATATTTAGATATGATTATATTAACTGAAACTTGGCATGATACGAATAACTGTAACTTTAATATAAATGGTTTTCAATTATATCACTCTAAAGTTAAGAGAAACCAGAATGATGGTATTATTATATTTATTAAGGATAATTTCTCTGTTGATTTTAAAGAATACGGCTGTAATGAATGTAATATTGTTAACCTAGCGTTATCTGATATGTCATGCAACGAACGATTTAATATTTTATGTATATATAGGTCCCCGTCCTCGAATAGTGATGAATTTCTGACCTGTCTATCTAACATCATAAAAACTGATAAATCTTTGAATGACCGTACACTTATTATCGGAGATACGAACACTAATATAATTGGCACTGATAATATAGATAATGAATATCTAGACTTGTTATCGTCATATGGGTTTCACTCTTTTGTAAACATTTATACGAGACTCCCTACTTCCCATACTCACACATGTATTGATCACGTATTTGTTAAATCAAATGACGATAATATACTAAACAATATTCAAGCAGGCGTACTGCAAATGTATATCACAGATCACTGCCCAGTTATAACATCGGTCCCTCTACTGAAATATAAAAGTCATAATGACAATAATTATAAAAATATTGTAGATTATAATTTAGTGAAGAGTAAATTAAAAAATGAAACATGGACCTCAGTTAATGATCACGATATCAATAAATCGGTAAAAAAATTTTATGACATAATCTTAAATACTATAGGCTCCTGTACAAATAAAAAAATTTTTCACTCTAAAAACAAAAGAATCAAAGAATGGATGACAGCAGGTCTACTTCGCTCCACTCGTAGAAAAAACGAACTCTCTATCAAAGTTAAAAAACATCCACTAAATCAATCCCTAGTAACTTATTATAAATCCTATAGAAACAAACTCAACTCTTTAATTAAAATAGCAAAAATAAATTTTTATAAAAATAAATTCATTTCAGTTTCAAAAAATCCAAAAGCTACTTGGAAATTAATTAATGAAATAACTGGTAAAAAGTTGACAAACAATGATAATATTAAATTGATAAAAGTAAATGAAGAACAAATAAACTGTAGATCTGAGCCAATCAAAGCATGTAATGCCTTTAATAAGTTTTTCTCTGAGGTGGGTCTCAATTTGAGTAAAACATTTAATACAGTAAATATGGAAGTACCAGTACCTCTTGATAAGAACTTTGATAATATTTTTACCAAAGATGTGGATAAAAAAGAGGTCCTTCATTTGTTTAATTCACAAAAAGAGGAGACCGCTGCAGGATTTGATAAAATATCAGTAAAGCTTATTAAAAGAATTTTACCTCTTATAATTGACCCATTAATTACTATTTATAATAAAAGTCTAAAAGAAGGTATTTTTCCCACTCAGTTTAAAGTAGCAATCGTTAAACCCATTTTTAAAAAAGGTGATAGACAATCTTTGGGAAATTATAGACCCATTTCAATAATCAGTATTTTTGCTAAAGTCTTGGAAAAAATAGTAAAAAATAGACTTGTTACATTTTTAGAAGAAAATAACCTGTTATCTAAAAATCAATTTGGCTTTAGAAAAGGTCTAGGAACTATTGATGCACTTTATAATGTATCAAAATATATCTATAATGCACTTGACAACAATCAAAAAGTTATAGCTGTTTTTTTGGATTTTGCTAAAGCCTTCGATACTGTCGACCATACTCAACTATTAATTGCTTTGCCAGGTTATGGTATTGCCAATGAAAGTCTAAAATGGTTTACAAGCTATCTAAAAAGTAGAGTTCAATATGTTTCACTAAATGACTATATGAGTGATGAATCTTATATAAACTGTGGTGTACCACAAGGCAGTGTGCTTGGTCCAGTATTGTTTATTATGTATATTGACAGTTTATGTAACATGAAAATTAATGGATCTATTGTTACCTATGCCGACGATACCTGTTTACTATTTACTGATGCTACATGGGATCTGGTGTACAATAAAGCAGAAACAGAATTAAATAAATTCATTCACTACCTATATTTAAAAAAGATTTCTGTCAATTATGATAAAACTGTTTTTATTGCGTTTTCTATTTATAATTGTACTCAATTTTCAAAACAGGAACTAATAATTTATAATGATAGTCATAAAACTAGCGGTTCAAACGACCTTAAAATTAAGAGGGTAACAAAGGTCAGATACTTAGGATTAATGCTAGACTGCAATTTTAGATGGAATATCCATGTACAAAATATTAATATGCGCCTACGAACTGTCATATATAAGTTATATTGTCTGAATAAAACTCTCTCCTCAGATACCATGAAAATTGTTTACTTGTCACTCTATCAATCTATCTTACAATATGGTATAACTATATGGGGTGGTGCCTCTGGAAAAACGTTAAAACCGATAATATCTCTACAGAATAGAGCTGTTCGTATCTCTCTAAATAAAGCAGATCGAGTTGGTTCTTCTAATGAAAATTACAAAGAACTGGGTGTACTTCCTCTAAATCTGTTATATAAAAAATATTCTATATCTTTTACTTTAAAAAATCATTCTAAATTCGATCCGTTAATAAATAAACGTGAAACTTTAAAATACAATCTAAATGTCAGTTATTCAAATAAATGTATTGGTCAGAAATTTGTAGACTATTTAGGGCCAACTTATTTCAATTACCTAGAAATTAATGTCAAAAGGTATCTTAGATTAAGTAATAATATTAATATAAATAAATATTTAACTAATGTTTTTATAAATAATTTGTAAATTCAAGTATCTGGTTTATAACTTCTTCTTTATTGTTTTTTTATTGTTTATTTTTGTCATATTTTTAAATACTAAATTGTATATGCTATATTTTAATCTCTAAGGAAATTACTTTGTAATAACTCGCTACCTTCAACTCAAGCTACGCTTAAAGAAGGTAGCTAAACCATTTTTTTTTTTAAAATGATTATTTAGTATACTAATTGTACTAGTATTTCTATTATATTTAATAAATGGTTTTACTTAAAAAAAAAAAAAAAAAAAAAAAAATCAATATAATAATGTATATTTAACGACGTCTTGGTTGTATTGTATGCGAATGTAGTGATTGTGTCTCAATCTCACCATATGTTTCTGCATATTAAACAATATAATTAGTAATGTTATAATATTATGATGATCATCAGGACTCTGAATAAATGCATAAAAAATGTTTAATTAAACTTAATTTACTGCATTTAAAGTGGATATAAGCAATATAAATATTGTCGAAATCTCAACAAATAAGGAAAAATGTAGAAAAAGGTACAAATAGACTCAATATCTGTACATTACTAGGTTTGTGTAAAACGATCATTTTGGCCGAACTGAATAATTATTTCTCGGCTTAATAACAAAAAAAAAACAACCCGAAAACGTACTTTGCTCAAAAAAACGATAATGTGAAATCGCTTCCCCCCTCGATGATGATCGTAATAATATTGTTATATCTCGTCGATTGTTTATAAAAACAATCCACTATGCTGCAGGAGATGCTCTATTATTGCGGAGACACCTGTTCGATCATCCCTTTTGGAGAGTCAATGTGTGACAAGATGTCGACGTGCGTCGTATCTGCGAGTCCTGCAGCGGCTGGCCCGAGGCCTCGCAACCACATGCCGAGCCGGCTGACCACGAGGCTAGCCGAACGGATGTTTCTGACCACGGAACACGATAACGTCTGTCTCGATGCCTGCTTGTCCGAGTCCGCTAGGGATCTACTGAACTCCCTCGATCGGGACGCAAAACAGCTGGACGACAATAGCGGTTTCAACCAGACAGATTAAATCGCCTGCGCGAAATAATTAACGTTTTAAACCCACCCGAATGTTACGATAGGTACCTGTAATATGCAGCTCAGACGCAGGAATAATCGATCGCCGAAGCCAGATATTATTGTGTTTTTGTCGTTATTTAATTATAAAAAAATTATACAGGCATTTCAATGTTGTAATGTCGTCGAAATAACGTTACCTGCCGATTTCGTTTGGTACTTTGACGCCGTACGGCGACGGCTCCGAACCGTTTCCGACGAAAAAATATGCATCCGGCCCCAAGCCGTCGTAGTGTAAATTTGGTATGTAGAATGTTCGTGCGTCCAAAATACTGATGTTGCCCGATCGCAAGTTGTGAGCGTAACGTTTGAACTCAGGTAAGATCCGTGGTTTGGGTGGGTCAAGAGTGACCGGTATGAACACCTCGCCGAAGTTTACCTGTAAGGAGAAATTAAACCTGTTAAAGACAATGTACCGTATGTCAGATAACAATCAGATACGACGTATCACAAAAACATGATTTGGAGGGAAAATAAGAATTTTAATGGTTATAAGTTTATAACACAGAATCGATAAAACTTCATCTATTCTGTGGTTATAACCTAAATTAAGCGAAAGGAGATTCTATATATTATCAGAACAATGAAAAGTTGTTCATTGATACTAAGATACTCCTATATAGTATTTTATATTTTTTTAAGAGCAAAATCGGGTTATACAGCTAAAAATGGATGTTTTATTTTATTCGAAGTTAATAGATTCAAAAACCATAGTATCACTTTTAATAAAAGTTATATCCTTCCTTGAGACTTTTAGGCTGTTTATATTTTATTTGTTCAACCCATTTGTTATGACTTTACGAGTAACTAAAATGTAGCTCACACATGAATTTTTTTTCAGCTCACGGAAAAAGAATATATTTTTTTTTTGTTAAGAGAACCCGCATGTTTTACCCCAGCCTTACAAACGCATAACAATCAAATTGTACGTTTTGAATAATTTATTTAACTCTGTTATGTTTGATCTTAAAACGAATTGGCTATTATCAAATTTAGAAGTGAGAATATTATCAGGACGATGACATAATATTTGTTTTATATTTAAATTTTGAAGTGATTTATTAGCATTTTAAAATAGTAAATTATTTCTAAGTTTCATAATAGATCAAGACACTTAAAGATAAACATTGAATTATTCAGAATGTACAATTTGTTTTTGTTAACTATGGGTTCGTAGGGCGGAGACACTGGCGTTTAAATGTATATATTTGGCGTTGGTTATATTATATTATATTACTATCATAATTAGTAGAATTATGGAAAAACATTTTTTTATAAAAATATTTATAAAAAAACAAATCTGACACGAGCAACGATAGAGCCGATAGAGGGACAGCTATATTTTATACATTTTGATACTTGATTGAAATTTAGATTGAACGTTCTTATGTGTTCAATTTATTTTAGTTTTGAAAGTTAAAATAGCAATAATATTGAATAGCTCAACAATTTCAAAGCATTATATTTTACAAAGTTATTTAGTCAGTTTTCGATTATACTCTATACACAGAATCACGTATGTGAATGGTAAATGTATATATTTGAACCGTGTCTTGAAATGGTATTGATGATTATGATTTAATACCTACTTAACATAATTTAAGTTATGATTCAAACTGCATGTCTATGTTGCAATTGCTGTAATAGTGCATATTATGTTTTTCCATGACACAATTTCTAACCTACCCGTTAAAAATCGTAATTAATATTGTTAGTTGTATATTTCTTAATGTGGTTCGACAATAAGTATATTTCTGAGCGTATGCGATTTCGAACATGATTGGCGCCCACTCAGTTAAATATAATGCACACGATACAATACAAATGAATTTGTCGCAGTAGGTAATGGTCAAAATATTTAAAAGAGTTTACTCCCCGACTGCCACGACTTCCTAAAGATGTCAACTGCGGTAAGACTATATGCGACATGAGATCTTTTACATTATTTATGACATTGGATTAGCCGACTATAGGTATCATAAATGTTTTCTATCAGTTTACTCTGTACAATGCTCGTCACTTTAACGTAAGATTGATTATAGGAGTTCTTTATATACATGTGTACTAAACAATGTCTATAATAAATGGTTCACTGTATTCTATAATAATACTATCATATATCAAATCGACTGCAAAAATCCAAATGAAATAATTTTAAATAACTAAACGTACGGCCTTATGTGCTGGCATATAGTAGCCACGAATTTTGTTATGCTCATGCTATTATAAAGGAAAAGTAAACTTAAAACTAATAGTTCTTTTTCAAAGTATTACTCCTAAATTTAGGTGGCTATGCCAGGGGCGTCATTTCAACTTTTCAAAGGATAGGGCAACTGATTAAATTTGCCGACTTCATAATATTTAAAAAATTATGGTTATCTATATATATGTATGGACGATAGACCATCAACAATATATTTTTTTCGGAACAAAAAATGTAAGGGTTAATGAATAATGATGTCATGATGATAAACAAATAACATGAAACGTTTCAATTTACCCAATTAAATAATAACATTAAAGATAGTAAAACGTTAATTTATTTACTTATCCTATAAGTTACCTATCAAGTATCATCAGGTTTAATGGAATAATAATATTAATCATATTAAATAAATACTTAAAATTTTATTATTTGTACATTTAAAACTTTGATGAAATTATAATACCAGTTAAAACTAATAATACTAGTTAATTATTAGATCGTGGAAGTCGGCAACGGCTATCGATGTTATAAACACAAACAATTTGTTGTATACTTATTTTTAGAATTTTTCTAGATATTCCATAGAAGTATTTCGCGTAATAACGATTGTCATAAAGTTGAGGAGGAGCCAGTGTTTCCCAACATATTAATAACCGTGAATGTGTATTTAAAAGAGAATATTAGAATAATATCTGATTTCTGAGTATAAAATAGTACCTAAATACAAATTTAGTACTTACCGATTTTAGCATTTGATCATCGGACAAAGAATTGCCGACTTTTAAAAAAAATTTAGAGTGGGGCATTTGCCATAGTCTGCCCCCCCCCCCCAAATGACGCCCCTGGGCTATGCTAAACTGAAAGTAAATCGGTCCAAAAAAATGTCAACCTTAGAAAAAAGAAACGCTCCCAACTAACAATAAACAATAAACCTATACTAATTAAAAATAAAACCACATATTTAGGAATTCACCTAGGCAAAAAATTCACATGGACCAATGGACCAATCATACCAAAAATAAGTTTAAAAAATTCCAATACATTCATATATCTTCTCCACCTACTACTACCTTACGCAATGAACTTAAAAAATACAATTTGTACCTATGTATAAATCAATCATAGCCCCCTTCCAATTAACACGTTAAGAGGCTACAAACTAGCAACCAGAAACTTCACACGATTCCACTTCAAACTTGACTCCAACCAAAATCTCCTAATGACGTGCATCATGGTGCATATCATCTATGACCATCTCCGATAATTTACCGAGAATACTCAACCGGAAATGGCCAAGCGACGCTCTCAAATTCTAATGCAACAAATAACAATGCAAATCTATACATAAAAAAAACTTCCTAAAAACACACGTTTAAAGTGGTGCTGTTGACGTATAGTTACCCTACTCAAGTCTCACGACCATCAAGCCAAATATAAAAAATTATGCACTGATGTCACATTTACTTATTGCGCTCACTTTTTGTATGTATTGCAAATAAAGTTTTAATAAAATAAAATAATAACTGAACTGAATTTAAAAACAGTGTTTTTCGCATACCGCGGTACGTTAAAACTGTATAAGGTTATAACTTATAATAACATAATAATTATTAAGATTCAAAGTTGAATCTGTTAATAATCTATAGTCTCTTTGGTACCTACCAAACTCATAATCATTGAATTATTATTATCGGCCGTGACCCAATGTATTATACTATTATATATTATTATATTATAATAGTATATATAGGCATTACGTTTAATCGGTCCCACGAAATCTCAATGTACTGGCTAAATTAACTTTATTTTTTAACAAAACGTATTGAAACGCTTTTTTTATTTTCGAATTTTAATATATGAGTATTGCACGCTTCATAACTCGGCGCCGTTTAACAGTTGTAAGCTTTGTAACGAATGTGTAGAGTGTGAATATAAAATTACATTCATTTTTTTTCTTGTACACGGAGATGTTTAATATTATATGTAAGACATAATATTTATTAGTCTGACGTGATACTTTTTTTTTTGAACCCTCTTCTGTTATCTTATCGTAACAGCAAAACGACGAAGAAAAAAAACCGTCGGAACACTGATGCGAACTTGATGCCTCTTTGTCGGTATATATTCCACATGAAATCCAGACCATACGCCGCGGTGTTGTGTACATTTTACTGAACAGTTTAAAGATCGAAAAATTAGTTTTTTAATTTTCACTTTTACAGACTACCCATATAACTATTATACCTACCTACTAAATTCCCGTTCTATTTTAGTTTCGGGCACTGACCGTTATTGTAGCCCCGCCAACTCGTATACCGCTACCTCGGGGAAGTTTGTATACAAAGTAAAGTTTCCTATATATAAGTTCATATTCGGCCAAAGATTTGGCCTCTAAGTCTATATGTATAGTTGACTGTACAGGCATATTATTAAACTATAGTTGACTGCCGTGGAGCTTTTGAGAATAAGCTATTGTCATTTTGCTATCAGCTGCGGTAGTGGAGTTCCTTTCTACCGTAATACTTCTGTAAAAGACGCTTCACACAATAAGGAAGCACGTTTCATTAGTATCTACGCAGTTTATTGTCTTTATACCCTTTGTCCCTTTGATTCGTTAAACCGAAAACCCATGTTCCGGAGTAGAGGCGTTTACGTAGGTGTAGTGTCAATGACGATCGCCTTGACGTCTTGTTGAATTTTTAAGCCTTAAGAGTGATGTCGAATAAAAAATAATAGAACGATAATTATTGATATAACTGGCTGGATAAACTAAGCCCAGTCGCTGTTAACCTTCAGTAGATCGCGCGGGTTCAGAGTACCTATTCCGTCACTCGGGGTAAAAAATGATTAAGCATGTAATATATTTTTCTTTTACATTTACCAATTTTCAATTTTTAAATTCAAATTTAAATTTAAAATAAACAAAATATAACATATAAATAAAATAAGATACAAACTTTTTTAAGTTTAATTTTTAAAATTTTTATTAAATATCTAATGACATATTACTATACATATACATGGAAACTAAATAAAATAGGGCTCGGATTTTAGAGGAAATGTTCATCTTTATATATTTATTTAAGATAGAAATCTAATTATTATACATAAATTCGTTTCACGTCAATCTGATTCCAAATAAACGAATTTATTTTTGCTTTTTTATTGCTTTT